ACATTTTTAAACACTATATTTATATAACTCAATAAGTTTACACTTGTTTTGATGACAAATTTATTGATTGTATGTACACACAAAAAACACATGCACATATATATATACTGTACACACACACACACACACACACACACACACACACACACACACACACAAACATATAGAAATGCTATTATAAGTTGTTTACAAAGAGAAATTGAGAAATAAATTAAGTATTTATTAGAAAGATTTTTGTTAAAACTGTTGGCACCGGGAGATCACTAAATTAATAGTTCTGTGAAAATGTTTTTTCACCCGTATTTTATTTTTAATATAAGAGTATGTTTTTTTTTATTATAGATAATTTTAGTTTTGTGATTAAGTTGTATTGTATGAGACTTTACATAATTTAAATGAAAAATTAATTTAAAAAAACTCAAACCAAATCTGTTTTATATTTCAATTTTATATTATTTTTATAAAATTTAATTAAAAATTACAATTTTACTATAATTGTCATATTATTAGTAATAATAAATAATATGTTAAGCAATTAGCTTAAAAACTAATAGTTTATTTAAATAAGAGAAATGTATTAAAAATAACTTTTTGTATAAAGCATTTTATTTGATAATTTAAACTAAAAACATATTAAAAACTGTATTTGTGTTAATTGCATTAAACAAATATAAGTTTTAAGACTAATAATGTTGTTTTTTGTGTGCATTATCATTGTTTTGAGTTATTGTTTATATACAATATAAAAATTACAGTACTGTAGTTATGTGTAAAACATAAAATATTCAATTATTGTTTAACTCTCGCATAATGCATAAGTGGATTAAATGATAATTGTGTAAAAATTATTCAAATATAAAATATAATATTATCACATATTTTTTAAGAAAAAAAACTAAATATAGAGATCCCTGAATATTATAATAATAGATAAATTTCCACATGAATTACTAATTTATAAAGCAATAGCTTTACAATGAGTAACTTTCATTTAGTTTTATTATATATATGTTTTTAAAAATATAATCAGATAAATTAAATATAAAAGGTTTACTAAAAGTATATTATATACTTAATATTATATAAATTTATTTGATATTATATATGTTTTTAAATATTAAAATACAAATATATTTGTCTGTTATAAATAAGAATATATAGATATTTATTTAAAAAGAATATCAAATAAAATATAATTATCATAAAGATTTAATTTTTTCATATTTGAAAAATTGTATCTTAAAATTATTTCAGCTTCTAATTGTTATTATAATATATTATATTGTACTGTATTATATAATTATATATGTATATAATACAATATCATAAATCATTATAATTTATATAAAATACTAGATTAATGTAGAATAATAAAAATTATGTACTAATTGTATTAAATTTATTATAGCGTTAATATAAATCTCTAATAACAATAGTTTCTATAATTAGAGGAAATCCCAAAATATTTCAGTCATTGTAAAAGATATGACTAACTTATTAAATACAAAATGACATAACAATAGTTAAGGTTAATTACAATTTTGTTTGATTAGTATTCAAATATAAATTTAATTATCTAACAAACAAAATTGTTGTTGTCTAATGTTTTGGTAAACTTTTATTTCATTAATTTTAGTGTCTAAAACAAATAAATATAAATTGATTAATATTTAATTAAATTAAACATTGACAATAATATCTATTTTTAACTATGGTAAAATTAAAAAAAATAATGACTTTTGAATTAATTTATATTGTCATTACATTTTAAAACAATTTTTTTTAATAAATAAAGTTATTATATTTTTAATTAATATTGTTATATAAAAATTTAATAAAAATGCTACTTTTAATATATTGTACTTTGAATTTGTCGAGAGATAAAGTTTGTCATTTGTAGACCTGATTAATAATATCAGTTAATATATTAAATGTCAAATTTATATTTATTTAATTAATAAACTAAAAGCTTTCAATTTGTAGACAAATTTAATTAAAGTATAATCCATTATAAGTGTCACTTTACTCATTTAATTTAATTGATCTATAAATATACTATAAACTAATTAAAGCCATGTTTGTTATAATTGTTTTTCTATAAATTACATATATAACTATTACAGTATAAAGCCTATTATAATATAATAAAAAAAATATTATCAAAATTTGCATAAATTTAATATTTGTTTGTTGTCTATCATTAATGAAACATTAAAAAAATAATTTTTCAGAAAATTTTAATATTAATTATTTTATTAATAAATATATTTTATGCAAACAGTACAGTAATAGTATTTAAAAATACGTTAACTTGTTAGTAGTGATGTAGTGTCCATTTGATATAAATCACCTTGCCCCTTTTTGTTTCCTAAATTGTGTCCAAAGCACAAAGTTACTTACAAATCAAATTTCAGTATAAAATCAAATTATAATTCATAATTTTATCTTATTTTACAAACATTTAATTCAATAAATTTATTATAAATTAAAGTTTTTTGTAAGTTTGTTGATTTACAGTATATATAATACAAACACATATCTTAACACTTATATTGTGTTTTGAAGGTTCAGTGATAACTTGAGGCCAGAATGAAATAAGTCTTCTTATGGTTAAATAATCTGAAGAAACTGAAAAATAGCTCACATTTGTTATCAATTTGTATAATCATCTGAAATGTATTTATTATTTAGAGAATGTCTTCAATTTTTCTCATCATTTAATGATAATTTATTTCATCTAATTATCACATTCTTCAGCATTTTATTGCAAGTTATTTGTTAACATTTTATTACGTTATAGACATTACATTACAATTATATAATTGAAGTATTGATTAGTACTTTATTTATTTTTTTATAACTGTTTATTAAATATTAAATAAATTATTGCTTTTATTTGATTGGTTTAACTATTGCTTAAGAATTCGGTTATTAATAAAAAGTTTTAATGTTATAATATAACTATTAGATGATATAAATTATATGAAAATTATAATATTAATATATGATATATTAAAGTTTATTTTCTAAATGTATTAATATTTTATTTTTTATATAACACAATATTTAATGAGTAATAATAACTAGAAATTTCTAAATGTATAATAAATAAACAAATAAATTGTAAAAATATGCTACAATAGATATAAAATTGTTTTATAATATTTATGAATATATTAAATATATTATTCTACATTAAAAAAATTATACTAAGGCCCATGTAATAATTTTGTGTCTATATATTTTGTTATTTAAAATCTACAAATAAAATAATTTAAATACATTATATTATGTTGTATTTTTTAATTTTTAATTATTATTATACATAATATAATAAACCAGTTAAGAATGCTAGAAAGCATTTTCAGAAAAAAAACTTGAATAGCATTGAAAACCATTAGTTTGTATAATTATAGCGGCTATATAGTAACATAAAAATTTAAAAATTGGTTAAATATACATAATATAAATATTGTCATGTATGGTATCAAATGATTCAGTATGACAAAATATTCTCAATTTTAGTCATGCAAGTTATCAAATGACTCAATATGATAAAATAAACACAACTTTAGTCATGTAGAGTATCAATTGACTCGATATCACAAAATAAACTTAACTATAGTCATGTGGGGCATCAAATTACTCGGTATGACAAAATAAACAACTACTCATGTGTGTTATCAAATGATTTAGTATAACAAAATAATCAACTATAATTATACTTTTGCCGCTTATACTTTTTCTTTGTTCCCGTAATATCAAAATTTTAATGCATAATTTTTATTCTTGTTTTGATGCTTTATTCAAATCTATAACTAAAAAAATTTCTAAAATTTTCTCATACTTTTGCCGCCATTTTAAAAAAAATTATGTTGATATATTATATCATATTTTTGATGCTCTTTACAATTCTAAACGTTAAAATTTTTACCTAATTTTTTTTACTTTGGCCGCCATTTTCTTTATGTTCCCGAAGAGATATCAAAATTTTAATGCATATTTTTTATGCTTGTTTTTGATGCTTTATTCAAATCTATACTTAACAAAAATTTTCTTAAAATTTTCTTTACTTTGGCCGCCATTTTCTCTATGTTACCGAAGAGATATCGAAATTTTGATGCAACTTTTCAATACATTATTATTAGTCCTCTAAGCGAATCTGAAGTCAGAATTTCAAAATTCGCAAAATGAAATGCTACAGACAGACAGACAGACACAAAAAGCCATTATAGATTTCAGTAAATAAAACTTTTCAAGTTTTTTTTTGAAAATAAATTAACTTTTAGTAAATTGCTTTTTTAATTATTTTCCAGTTTTCTATAATTTATTTTTTATGTCAAAATAAAGTTATCATTTTTAGTATATTGATTGAAATATAAATACATTATTACAATATACAGAATATATATATATACAGTATTTATTATTAATAGTAATTTTAAATAATAATTAAAAATCATAATGTCATAAAACAACTAATCACATTTTAAAATGCTACATTGATTATGTAATTTAATTTGAAACACAGTTATTATAAATAACTAGTTTAATAAATAAAATATTTAAATACTGCAAATTATTTTATTTAATTAAATCTTTTATAAATAAATTTTAAAGCAAATAGAAAAAATAACAACTTTTCTCTTTTAATAATTATAATAAAATTTAAAAATAAATAACTAATTGAAAAGTCGATATAAATTGAAACAATTATGATTTTCATCCGCATCTCATTTCTCACAATTCAAACCATATTATAATATAATGTCAAAAATCGATGACAAAACCAACGATAGAGTCAATGGATTCGTCTCCGTTTGAATCACTATATCAGTGAAATTAAAGCTAATATATAGTTCATGACTACAGAAAACTATAGTCATCTTCAGTTACATATCATTGCAATTCAGTGACTCTCTGTTTATAAAACCACAAAAAAAGTTTCAACTAATCTCTTACTTATTTAGTCACCAAAAATAACAATTGTATAATATATTAAAACTTTCAAAAAGTGATTATAAGTGACACCAAATGGAAGATTTAGTATATATCATACCCAACGCCACTAGTCTACCGAGTTTTGCCAAACTATATGACGTTCCCATTGGTCTAATTGTATTGTTGGCCATAGCATACGGCACGGTATCGTTGTGTGCTATCATAGGTAACGGTGTCGTCCTATGGATAGTCGTGCGGTCGCATCGTATGCGGACAGTAACCAACATATTTTTGGCAAACTTGGCCTTCGCTGATATGTTGATCGGCGCGCTGTCCATACCTTTCCAGTTTCAGTCGGCTCTACTCCAGCGCTGGCTATTACCACAGTTTATGTGTCCGTTCTGTCCATTCATTAATGTTGTTTCAGTGAATGTATCGATCTTTACGTTAACCAGTATTGCGATCGATCGCTATATAATAGTTGTCAACCCGTTGTGGCCACGACTCACCAAACGTAAAGCTCAGGGTATTATAATTGCCATTTGGATTGTTGCCATTATAACGGCACTACCTATGTATGTGGCACTGGGCGTTAGTATGATTCCCGATGATGTGGCCATCAGTAAAATGAATTTAACAAATCTATTCACAAATATTAACCAAACCTATAATGAGGACAATTATCTTGTGTTACCATTGAAACACTTTTGTCATAATATAGGAATATCACCGGAACTGTTAAAACTTTATAATCGATTTCTTGTGGTAATTCAGTATTTTCTACCTGTGCTTCTCATTAGTGGAGCGTATGGACGGATGGCATACACGCTCTACATTGAGACTGTAAACCGTCGCGACAATAGTCAAAGACAACACCAAATGGTTTATAAATTGAGAAGAATTGATGCCATAAACCATAGGACGCATCGAAACAACAATAGAAACCAATCTTCAAATACGAATCAATTGTTTATCAATAGAGAAAAAAGAAAGGTTTGCAAACTTTTTTTTTAATAAATTTTAAGTTTGATTATACATAACACAACTCAAAAACATATTAATTATTTTTATTCAATACTATTTAATATAGTTTATACTATTTAATCATTAATATTTGAAATATTACTTTGAAAAATAACTTGTTTTGAAAATATTTCGCTTATTAATATTATAAAAAAATTTAAAAAATTAATAAAATTACTATATTAAAAACATATTACATTAATTACTGTATAATAATTAAATAATGACTTTGATATACCACTTGATGCGTGTACTTAATTTATTTGACAGTTAGTATGTATTAAATTAGTTGAATGTTAAGCTAATGTTAATCCCCCCGACAATTGCCAAATTATGTTTTAACTTATTTGGCAATTAATTGTGTAATTTTCAATCACTAATTATTGTAATTAAAATTTAGATTTGAATTATTCGAAAATTTACTAACATATCAAATGTCAATTTAATTTCAATTTATTAATTATTATTAATTGATAATTTTTTAATAAATTAAATTACTTACTGTCTATAACTCTTATTTATTATAACTCATAACAATGATAAAATAAACATAAACTTATACAATGTATTTTGGTTGAAAATATTATGATAAAAATAAATGTTTATTTTAGTAATTACCATAATATTGACTTTCAGACGAAATATTTAGCTCACATATAGAGATAAAATATATGTTTGAAGAATATGATCGTCAAAATTATTTAAAGTATTAGAGTTGGCAAAAAAAACATTTCTAAAAAATAATAGAGAAATTTCTAGAAAGTTTCTAAAAGAAATTTTTGTCTAATTGATGCCCATGTTAATTTTGTTGTCTTAATATTTGTTAGATTGTAAAAATACATTATAATTACAAATAAAAACTAAATAATATTAGTATTTTAATATTGATTAATATTTAAAGTAAAAAATAATATATTTACTAACATTAAACTAAAAATTTATTTGAATGATAAATAAAATTTTATAAAAATATAATTATATTAATTTTATATATAAGAATCCTAATTTTAGACCATAGATTAATCCATAAAATACTCGGCAGTTATTTGAAAAGTAATAAACATTTAAAAAGTGAATATTTTATATGAATGGCAAAAATATTAAATATAAGTAAAATTATTAATTAAATTATTGCTAAATTCTAGTGAAATATTACTATTTTAAAGTTACTTTCAAATATAATGTATTTATACTTTACAGGTATTAAAACTATTGGTCATAATTGTGGTATTGTTTGCGCTATTTTGGTTACCATTGCAAACATATAATGCGATATCAGATATATTTCCACAAATTAATGAGTAAGTGATAAAACTTTAATAACTTAATATATTTATCATAAAATATTTATTATAAACACAAATTATATACCCAGTACTTTAAATCGTTTAATGTTAAATAATTTAAATAAAAATAATAAACTAAATAGAAATTGAATACAATTTAGTTTCTACTATTAGACTAATATTATAGATATATTTAATTTTAATTTATTAATTATGTTTTGATAAAACGCATTTTGAATATATTTTTAAAAAATTATTTATATAAAAAAATAAAAACTATTTTAACATATTTTATACATTTATTGGTGAATAGATTGTGTAAAACTATTTATCTTAAAAGTATACGAAGAGTCTAATAATACATTTTTAATTATTTTTAATATAATCTATTAAAACACATTTCAATAGAAAACTATTAAAAAGTGTGAACAAATAGTGCTTATATTAATAGCAAAACTATATATATATATATCAGGGTTAAGCAAGGTTTTGGATTTTAGGGGGGGGGGGGGGGTAGACCGGGGTAAAATTTACAAAATTCTCGAAAAATCTTGGGGGGGGGGGTATTGGGTGGGGTAAGATTTTTATTGCATTTTTAAACGGCAATTTTTTCAAAAATCCAAAATCAAGGGGGGGGGTCAAGAGAAAATTCCCTAATATTCCCTTAAATTCCCGAATATTCCCATGTAAATTCGATAAAATTCCCATAAGTTCCCGTATAAATTCCCAGGAAAATAGGTAAAATTTACAAAAATACTAAAAAAACTTAAATTTTAACAAAAATAAAAAAAAGTTAAATTTTAACAAAAATAAATATTTTTAAAAAAAATTTTAAAAATTAATAAAAACTTAAATTTTAGCAAAAAATAAAATAATAATGTATTAAATACTTAAAAATAGGTGATAAAGGCATTAATGATACACTGAGTTTTTTAGTATTTTAGTAATTTTTAACTTTTAAAATAATTTTTTAAATAATACTTAATGCTTATAGTTTATAGATATATATTTTTATTTTTTAATGTTATTTTTATGTAAATACTGATTGAATACTAATTATAAAATTAAAAATATTTTAAATTTTTTAGTTAAAATTTTAAAAATTATTAATAAAAACCTTGTAATATAAGTATTTATTTATTTATTAACTTCTTAAACTATCTCAAACTTCTATTTATATTGTAATATGATTATTCTTTTCAACAAATTGGTATTTTTTAACTTTTTAGTTTAATATTTTAAGTAAAATTATGTTATTTTTTGATGAGTTTTAACGTTATTTTAACTTTTTTACTTATTTTTAATCAATAATTAGAATCATATAAATTTTAAAAACATAAAAACACTTACTAAAATAGTATTAACTAAAATTAAAATTTTTATAAATCTCAAAAAAATTTTCGGCGCCTTCGGCGCCGAAATTTTAGGGGGGGGGGGTCATTTCTCCTCGTTTTTAAGCGACAATTTTTCCCATTTGGTCAAAAAGTCTGGGGGGGGTAAAATCCCAATTTCTCGATCTTAGGGGGGGGTATTTTGGCCTTACCCCCCCTACCCCCCCCCCCCCCCCCCCCCCCTTACTTAACCCTGATATATATATATATTATATTTATATATAATATACTTTATATTAAAATTATGATATAACTGTAATTGACTTTGAAAACTGAAAATCTAATAAAATCTTCATTTTTTTAGAAAATTTTCCAAACAATGATTTATTTTGTAAAAAGAAAAGAAAAGAAAATAATTGTCAAATTAAAAATAATATATTTTATGCAATTTATAATACTATATATTAATGTTTAAAAATTGAGAACCTATGTCTTAGAAACTCATGAAATAATTAATATTTAAAAAAAATTTAAATATTAAATATTATTTTATTTTTGCTAATAGCAATTATTAACTTAATTTATAAGCAGTTAAACTGAGGCAATTTACAGTAAAAGTGCTAATTTAAACTCAATATATATATATTAAATATTATATATATACTATATTTTTAGTACTGTATCTCATTTTAACAATAATATAATACATTAAAACAAATTGTTTTAACAATAGACTCATACAGTAGTATAATATATATCTTATAATTAACTGCAAGTCTTAAACATTTCTCGCGAGTCATGACAACCCATTTAAGAAATTATTCATATATTTATATAATATTATATATTTATGTCTATATGTTGTTATTATTATTATCCATATAAACTATAATAAAATAAATAACATTGAACTAAAATTAATAATTTTTTGTTTAATACAGTATATACTTCTATATATATATTCTACATATTATACATTTTATATTTTATAATAACTGATATAAAAGTAAAATTATATCTTTATTAATATAACATCAAGTAAAATGAATTAATAATCTAATAAAATTATAATTAATAATATAAATTTTCAAAATCTTAATTAACTTTTAGATTACAATACTGTATAATGAAAACATTAAACTTATTTTCATTATTAAAATATTTTTTTTTTGTAAAAAACAAAAGGATTATTTGTTATCGAAATATTTATTAAAATAAATTCATCAATACATTAGTGAAAATCATTTTAAATACTAATTTAAAGTAAATTACAACAAACATAGTCTTTAATTAGTGTACACATTATACCTGTAAATAGTAAACAGTTTTCGTTATTATCTGTATTTTAATTATTTTCAAATTAATTTGAATTAAATTTAATATTTTGAAACAACTATCAACTCTGTAATGAATTTTAAAAAATTTAAAGTCACTAATAATAATTATTACAAATAGATTTGCAATTTATCTTTTAAAAAATAATATTTTAATATTTTATGTCTATTAATATGTTTTCTAATGCATGAAAGTTGTTGTACAATATGTACTGTTATATTGTACATTATATATAATACAATAGATTATCAATAATTTGTTGAAATTAATTACTAATAAGAAAATTACTAAATTCTATTGAAATGCAAGTATAAAATAAAATAGACAATAATTTATAGCTTCTGGATATATTCAATGTTTCATTAAAAATTTTAAAATATACAATAATTTTACATACCATATAAATATTAAAAAATAAAACTACATAACAAATCTAAATATTTGTAATAAATATGTGAAATATAATTTTATTATATTTAATTACATCAGAAATAAGTTAGTGAATGAAATGAAAATAAGTTACATATTTTCATTTAATCTCATATACAATATAAACAAAACAGAATCTATAAATATCTTACATTATATCCATAGAGTATTAAAAACTTATAAATACTGATAAAATACTATATACTGGTATGTATTCGATGCATAAAAATGTATAAATTTATCTTTTATAGTATAAATAGACAAATACAACAATTGTTAAATATTATATAATTATAAAATGAATTTTAATCAATTAAACATTTTTAAAATGCTATTTAATACAATTTTTAATTTATTCTTATAAAAAAAATTACATCAAACATATGTAAATTTATATAAAATTATAGAATAAATTTGTGTTTTCATAAGTACCCATTATTAATTTATATTACATATGATATAATAACTATTTTAGCAATTAATTTAAACAAACTTTTAAAAAGTTATGTTTTTAGAATTTGTATATATTATATATATGTCTGTTTCATTTTTAGAATTTAAAAAATTTGATTTTAGATTCGGTTAAATCATCGAAAATAAGATAAAATCTGTTTGTTTAGGAACAGACAAAATGCTCTTAAAGTATAAAAAAATTAAAATATAGACTAGAATTGTCTTAAGAAGTATTATTTATTTTACTACAAACTATCAAAAATGGTCGATAAAATTATGTTTTAAAATTTTGATTGGATATTAATTTAGTAATACATTTGAGGTATAAAATGTATATAATATAACTAATATAAATTAACTTATATTTTAATTATACAGTATTATGATTCATACAGACTAATAGTTATCTGCAATAAATATTTTGGTTATACTATGTCATACAAGATATAAGATTTTCCTATTGAATATTTTCGATGTTATATTATAAATACAGGCAATTAAATTATATTAATAGATATTATATGTAAATTAGAGTATTATAATATTTATATGAAGTAATCTACGCCAATAAAGTTGTTTCTGGGCAATGCTTTCTAGCATTTTCAACTGGTTTAAAATATAAAATAACAAAATAGATAAAGATTTTTAGAAAATAATGTTTTTAAATAATAAGACACTGGTCATTAAAATTTTTTTATATATTATAAAATATTTAAACGTAACATCGTTTATAAAGTTAATCTATAATAAATTTTAAATTTTATAAATAATTTTTAGATATTAACAATATTATTTTTAAAATAATAATTATTTACTATTTATCAATAAAACCGGTGTTTATAGACATAAAGAATATTTAATTAATTTATAAATGATAAAAACATATAATTTATTAGTATTCAAGTTTATTTTAGAGACAAATTATTCTATAAAAACGAGTCATACCTATTTTACAATTAAACTTTTTCTAACTGAAATACAAATAGATTAATAACAAAATATTTTAATTACCGGTAATTAAAAAATAAAAATTGATATTTAATTTAAAAGATCAGATTATCATGTTTTTAAAAACTAATATTAGACTAAAATATTTGTCAATTCAGCTAAATGTCAATATTTGTCAAAATTGTTTTGTGATTTCTCATTAAACTAATTTTATTTTAAAAGTCTAGTAATAGTAACAGCAGTTTCTAAAGAATAACATTTTATATGTATTTGTTTGTATAAATATAATATAATTTACATTAAATTTGTAAGAAAACTATAGATTTTATAAATTGTAAATTTATTTGTAAGCCGAAATACTACAATATACAATTTAATATACAATTTAATATACAATTTAATATACAATTTAATCAGGGTTGCTAAAGGTTTTCGATTTCAGGGGGGGGTATAGGGGGAGGTAAAATGGCAAAATTTTCGAAAAAGCTTGGGGGGGGGGGGGGTATAGGGGGGTGAACATTTTTTATTGCATTTTTAAACGACAATTTTTGCCAAATTTGAGTAAATTCCCATTAAATTCCCATTAAATTCCCATTAAATTCCCAATAAATTCCCACTAAATTCCCACTAAATTCCCGCTAAATTCCCATTAAATTTTCAATAAATTAACAAATAAAAATATTCTCAACTTAATTTCTCAATACTCAAAATGTTTTCTAAATATTAAAAATTGCATAAATATATATATAACAAATATAATTATAATTATTAAATAAAAATATTATTTAGATTTTAAAAAAAATAGTTATTGATTAAAAATTAATGATATAATACTGTATTTATTAAAACGTTTTAATAATAATAATAATAAAATTGGCAGAAATAATTATTAATTAGTTCTAAATAATTAATTTAATTTAAAAATATATATTTTTTTAGTATTTTATATTGAACCATAACTAACACATTTTAATACTGTATTTATTAAAACGTTTTAATAATAATAATAATAAAATTGTCAGAAATAAATAATTAGTTCTAAATAATTAATTTAAGAATATTTTTTTACATAGTATTTCATATTGAAAAATAACTAACACATTTTACTATAAAATTTAAAAATATTAAAATATAATAACTTTAAAATTTATGCTAAAAATTTGTTTTCTACTTTTAATAAGAAATAATATATATAAATATTATCATTTATAAAGGCTAAAAAATAAAATAAAATATTTGATTATTTTTTTTGAAAATTGGTGGGAATTTATTAGGGAGCTTTTTTCCTTGTGGAGTGCCCCAACTCTATTTATGTAATATTTAGTTAATATTATTATTATTATTTTTAAAGCACATAACTAACAAATTTTAATATAAAGTTTAAAAATATTAAAATATAATTATTTTAAAATTTATGCTAAAAATCTTAGTTTTCGACTTTTAATAAGAAATAAAATATATATTATCTTTTATAAACAGCTATAAATAAAATAAAATATCATTAATTTTTTTGAAAATTTGGTGGGAATTTATTTTTTAGCTTGTGGAGTGCCCTAACTAGTGTAAATAATGTTAAATTGATGTAATTAAGCATTTTTATCTATTTATTTTCTATACATAAGCTATTAATTTATATTAAAACTAATTTAATATTTATTTTTTTGTTTAATATAAAATTTTACATAATTGAAAAAAATTTTCGGCGCCTGCGGCGCCGAAAATTAGTAGGGGGCCCCCTAACTTTCTGGCTTCAGGCCAGGGGGGTAAAAGCCAAAATTTCTCGATCTCAGGGGGGTAAGACGTCTTACCCCCCCTACCCCCCCCCCTTTAGCAACCCTGAATTTAATATAAAATTTAATATATATTATTTCTATCTATAACCTATAATCTATATAAAATTTATATCATTGATAGCTTATTTGTTTACATTTGAATTTATAAGTATAATATAATATACTGTATAAACAATGCAAATATTGTCAAAATTGATGCTCTTTAACATATGATTGTCATTAAGGCATCTCATGTTACATAAAATACTTTTTAATGATAAAACAGTATCTGTTTGTGTGTTGAACATGATATCTATATATCTTAATAAATATAAGTTTCATATTACAACTTAGTTTCATAATTACGATAGTTTATAACATAATAATCAAAAACAGAAAAAATCAATTTATATAAAATATTTCAATTTTAATGTATTGCTTTTTGCCAATAATAAATTTTAAAATAAAATATTAAAATCTTTTTTAGTAAGAATAATAAGAGCAATAAAACTGCAATTTTTTTTATTTACGTTTGTATTTTTTGAAATGTTGTTTCATATATATAACATAGATATTAATACTATATACGATTGATTTAATACTATTTTATTGAATATATTGACTTTACATAATATTATAAAATACTAGATTATAGAATATATAAAATAAAACATTACAGAATAACTTTGAATTTTGAATGATTAATGACACAAATATATAAAACATTTATTTATAAATTTTATAAACCCCTAAAGCATTTAAACCAAATCATGAATTAAAATAGTTTCAAAATTATTTTTATAGCAATATTTTTTCAATACTTTGCTGATATTTACAGTTATTTCTTAAATAAAAATAATAATACTTTATTTGAATAATTAGTTTATAGAAATAATTAGTTTAATGTTTAGAATTATATTGTATAAGATTTTTAGTTTATGTATTTTTATAAATTGTAATTTTGTTTAATTACTATATAAAAATAATATATATTATAGTATACTTATATATAGTATACTTATATATAGACTAAAATAACCTTTTATTAATTTTATTACAATATTTATTAATAATTAAGAATATTAACAAATTCAAAACATACAATTAATTAAAATATTTGTATTTTAAATATTTAATAGATATGAATACATTAACATTATATGGTTTTGTTGTCATTGGCTGGCAATGAGTAATTCAGGTAATTATAAACTTATGTTATTATTAATATATATTAAAATATTGTATATAATTATATATAGTATTATTGCCCTAAAGCTTATCCACTTATTGGGTATTATAGATTAATAATATAACCATTTAAGGGTGATTTACATATTACGTTTGCACTTGGGGTCGGCCAAAGTGAATTTGTGCAAACGAGGGGATGGGTAGAGACCTTAAGAACGTTCGCATTTAAATAATATTTTATTTTATTTCTTATGTGTGGGGGTCAGGGGTTATGGAAATGCGAACGAAATTTTCTAAAATAACAATTGCGAACAAAGGGGCAGAGGGTCTAGATTTCTTAAAAAGTGCGAACGTAATATGTGAATCACCCCTTATTATTATTATTATAGTGATAATTATATTATTTTTTGTCAACTAAAATAACAATATAGTTTGTTTTATTTTATTACATAATCTGTTTACTATTATTTAGTACTGTATTATTATTATGTTAGTATATATACCATATTTGTATATAATATTTATATTATTATTTATACACTTTATTTCGAAATCCTAAATTACTATAAAAGTTTGCTATAAATTACTAATAAAATATACAGTAGTGTAATGTAATGTACAAAATACCTGTATATTGAATATAAAATTTAATATACAGTACAGCAACTATGTCTTAATATTTTTAATATTATTATTTATATCCATTTATTTATTAAGTGTTTAAACATTTTAATTTGAAAAAATACAGAATATTATAACTGCAGTAAATATAATCCAATATCAATATACAAGTTTATACACATGAGCTATGAGTTAATTAATAAAACATTAAATGATATATGAAATTATTAAAGGGAATTATTGGTACCAATCTTAATGGACATATTTTTATTGATTATCTAATAACTCTATAATATTGCTTAACATTTAAGATAGTTATATAAAATTAATATCTTATAGATGTTAAAATCTTAAAAATCGTATATAAATATCTTATAAATGTTCATCTATTATTTGTTATTTATTATTGTAGTTATTTATTAAATATTTTGTAATATATTTTTGTAAAATTTTGAATTACGATTTCATTTTCATTTATCTTTTTCTGTAATTTATTCAATTATAACTATAATTAATTTAAGGCAAATAACTCTAAAACAAACTAAATTTGATAATTTTAGGTTTTTTAAAACCTAAAGTTTAAAGTGTAATAATTTAATTTATTTTGTCCAAGAGCAAACATATAAACACACAATTATTTTTAAATATTGTAATATTTAATTATTAATTATAAAAAATTACTTATATTTATGACTAGACTATAAATACTAATTTTTAAAATGTGTTTTGTAAACAATTTATTTGTTTTAAATAAAATTATTAAATATTTTTATTTATTATTTATTTATAACTTAGGAGTAAATCCATTTGTATACGCAATTTATAACGTGAGTAAATTCATATTTTTAATTTTGATTGATTACTTTTGAATAATTTTATTATATTTTAATAATAAAAATAAAATTATTTTAACATATAATTAAAATACTATCTATTAATTATGTATTATATATATATTTATAATTTTATAGCTAAGAAATTAACAAAAAACAAGATTTAATTTAAGTAAGTTTTAATATAGTATTTATTTGATTAAAAATATTTATTTAGTTTTTTAACCAAAAAATTGTTTCTTATAAAATATAGTATTTTCTAAATACCAAAAAATTGTTTCTTATAAAATATAGTATTTTCTAAATACCAAAAAATTGTTTATTTTATATATATATATAATGTATTGTCACAAAATAGATGTTATTCAATATTTTAAGTATTGATGTTATTAAATGACGATTTATATAATAAAATAAATTAATAAATAACGAATTTAATTTATTATGTAATTTATTTTATAAATTAAAACTAAATAAAATTATATAATTATTAAAATTAGTTAATTAGAAAAAGTTATATTTTCTTTTATTTCATTCAAACGAATAAGTATTAAGTGTATTAATATTGTTTGTTAATTTATTTTAATTTACAATTATTTCGATGAAAATTTATGATTAATGAAAAATGATTATTATATGAATGAATTTTAAAATCTAAATCTTTGAATATCTTTTTGCAATTAATGTCATAATTAACTTAAATAAGTAAAAGTAACTGTTACTTATTAACTGTAATACTGTATTATACTGTATAATGTAATTATCAATCAAAAAAATAAATAAATTGATGTAAGAGTATATGTTTGTAAAAAATTTACATTTGTTTGTATACTATTGAATACATGTGACTAAGGAGTGACTTTTACAATAGACTATACTATTGGTGTATTCAATAGATAAAGCATTAAAATTTATTGTTATATATATTTATTACTATTGAAAAAACATCATAAGTTATATAATATAATGATATACTGGACTTAAAGAAAATCAATGATTCACTTACCCAAGAGACAGATATTATTGTTTGTAAGCAATTTTTAAAACAAACATAAAATCAGTACAATGTTTAAACTGGTCTAGGTCCATTATTTGAAACTATATAAAGTATTATATAAAGTAACTGAATTTATGTTACTATTCATATAAAATATTTATATCGATATATAATTTATATTGATTATGAAATAATCATCTGTTTTACTATTTGTTATTTTCGTAAACAACATTTTAATAGAAATAATCATTTTTTAATTATAACTTATATCAGTGCATGTATAAATTAATTGTCTAAAATAGTAAGAAATATAAACTACAAAATAATATAAAATAGTCATAAAAATATTTAATATATATATATATATATATATATATAATTACACTCAAATACAATTTCTAATGAATGATAAATAATCTCAGCTATCTTTTCTTTTTTTATAAATATAAAAAATTAGATTTAATATGAAATTATATCATAGCTAATAATAATTAGATATATATTTTTATTTTCCCAAATAATTTTTGTATACACTGTATACTGTATATACTAAATATGGTATATGTATAACGGAAAATTACAACAAACAAATGATTTAGTAAAAAATATATATATAATATTTAATCATCAAATGAATACATTATTTTATCATAAGGTATCTTATAAATCACAAAAATTACAAAATATAATAAATCTATATTAACCTAAACTTAGATAGCAATAAACAAATAAATTATTACTAATCATCACCTAATGATGTGTTAAAATACATTTACCTTAAAACACATATATTTTATACACTGTATAGACACATAACACAGTATATTGTATTTAATTTATAGAAATATTTTTATTGATTGAAATACATGTATATAAAATGTATACAGGTGTATTTAAGTGCCAAATTGATTTATTGTTAATGAATTTTATATATTTATTTATAAATGATTTATATCATTACATCGGTATTATCATATAATAACATTAAAGATACCAAAAACGCTTTAATGACAATAAATATTACAAATTTATTATATAATAAATAAAACTTATTAATTAAGAGGTATATTCTTGGTTATTAAAATAAAATTATAATATTGTTGACGCAATTGATTATTTTATTTTTATATAAGTTATTTAGCTATTTATACAGCAAACAAAACTCTATGAATTGACAAAAAATATAATGCATTGGTATTTAACTTATATCTAACTTTATTGTGTTAATCATAATAACAATTATTGTGTTAAAAACTTTTATCTGCTAAATGTCGTACCCATCGACTCGCAGACTAGGAGTTCCTCACAATTCAGGTTTTTCTAGTGATGACTACCTGAGCGGTGAAGAGCTTCCCGACTATTCGTCGAGAAGAAACAGCTACAATGGTGTCGATCAAAAAGGATCGCCGATAGTGACCAACCAACGGGACAGAGCTAATCGCAGCGGTTCATCCAATGTGTTGGAAGTGCCCGGTTTTGCCGCAACATTACAACGGCATAACAGTGAGGCCAGTCTAGTGACCAATTCAAGCGCTCATTCATTTGGTTACCGGGCTTTCGGAGGCAAACATAAAATCAGAAAAACATTTGGAAGTATTGTTATACTCATTGGTGTCGTAGCGGTAGTGTTGGGTATATTACTCATCATTTTTGGTTTTCATTATAATGGCAACGATAGCACAAGTGCTTTGAAGACAATCGGATATTTTATTTTATTTTTAGGTATTTTAATGCTTTTGATCGGCATTTCAATTGTGAGCACCACTTATAAGACGGACAACAAAAAAACGATTCAAAAGTCAATAAATAATAACAACAGTAACGGCAACTCATGTATGAGTAGTCGCAGAGTTAGTACCATTGAAATTGAATCGCCATTGAGTTCAGCGGAAATTGTTGTCAACAAACCAGAGATTATGATAACAACGGATAACTTCAACAACGATAACGTTAGTTACAAGAAGTTTCCGATTCCTAACATTCATACCAGTCCTCAGTCGACAATAACTTCCAATACTTTGTCTACCGATCAATCATTCAATAATAATAATAGCAAATTGTATACCAATTCACTTAAAAGATATGATGAGAGATCATTAAAATTATTATAATTTTTATTAAATTATTTTAAATAATTGTCTGATAGAGACAATTATTAAAAGTGTTTTTAGTATTTATAATATTACATATTGTAATTTAAAATTATTTATATAATTATGTAGTATATTGATTTAACTAATATTACTAATATATAATTTATTAGTAAAATTAATAGCAATGTTAATTATTTTTAAAAATAATGATTTGTGTAATATTTTATTTTCTATATAGTATTATAAGTTATTTACTATTAATTTTTTTAAATCTGTATATTTTTTTGTTTTATTATATTTATTATTAGTATAATTATTATTTAATATTCTAATTAAATTAAATCAATACATCTAATAATATAAGTAGAAATTTTTTATATGACTCAACTACTATTTTCTATTAAATTAAATAAAATATGTTATTAAATATTTTCCGAATATATATATCATTACTATTTAATCTAAACTATAGTATTCTTATAACAAGAATTCATTATTTTTTCTGTTTTTTCTCGTTTATTAAAAAAAATATCTCATAAAT